GGCTGCCCTGAACGCTGCTAAGGAGAAGGCTCTGCAGCAGCTGAGGGAGCAGCTGGAAGGGGAGAAGAAAGAAGTGAGTCAGTCAAGTGGGGACCTCACCCTCTGATATGTGTCTGGGCTGCCTGGGAGGGGACCGAGAACACAGGGAGAGGAAGGGCAAGCCTCGGGTGGGCGTGCAGGCTGGGGAGCCAGGTGGAGAGTAGGTCTCACACATAGACTGGCGTGGGAGATGGTGAGGTGACTGCCTGGGCCCATTACTCCATATGGACCAAATTAGCTCAGGGCAGGAGCTTGCTCTGCTGTCCATGGCAGGGCAGAGGATGCAGCAGGCATCCCGAGGCCCCTCCAGGGTCAGGCTGGTTGGCAGTGGTGGCTGGAGGTTCTCAAGCAGAGAACCATCAGAGGCTTGAAGGGGAGTGTCCTGTGGATTTGAGAAAATTGGTGACTGAAAGAGATTTAGCCAGACCAGAGGTTTTGAGACAAGGGCGCTCTGTCCCTCACTGTCTCTGAGGGACAGCTGCAAGGGCCTCACTCCCCACTTTTCCCTCCTTTCTTAGGATGAGAGGCTAGCAACATAGCAGGGATTTTCTCTTTGTCCATACTCCCTGTACTCCAGTCAGATGGCTGGTTTCTGAAGGTTTTAGCACAGTCTCTCTGAGCACTTGCAGTGCATTGGAGTTCCCTTGTCTTGCTGTAGTGTTTTCCATGTCTAAAAGCTGCAGCTTTGCACCTCACCAAAATAAAAATAAGGTTCTACATGGCCTGACTTAATGACACCATCCAACCTGGCCCCCCTGGCTTGGATCTTATTTACCAGCATGAGCACCGTCTGTGGACCTGTGGCCTAGTCTAAAGGCAGGGGGTGGGAGCAGAGAGCCGAAACTTACTGAAATGCCCCTCTCTTCTGGCCTTCGTGTTCCTGTTCATTTGCCAGTTGTAGACTTCAGGGGCTGAGTTATTTCAGAGGAACAAAGATGTGCTGTGCTTCCCCGTGCTTCCCTTGACCCTGATCTCAAAGGGTTGGGGGTTGGTAGTCTTCCTGGCTCTGCCTCCCACCATGGTCAGTGCCTGGCCAGCTTCCCTCACAGTCCCTTTGCTCCTTCCCAGGCGGTGGCAAGGCTGGAGAAGGAGCACGGTGCTGAGCTAGAGCGGCTCTGCTCCTCTTTGGAGGCCAAGCACCAGGAGGTGAGACGCAGTATTCTGGGCCCCCTTCATGGCTGATTAACAGAATTCAGCCCCATCCCTGGCTACTAGGCAGTGAGCCTCTCCCTCCAGCCCCTGGGGATGGATGCCAGGTCCTCAGAACACATCCCCACACAGCAGCTGTACAGTATCCCTGAGGGACACACTTCCCTGTGTGTGCGGGGGCCTCCTCAGGTGGTCTCCAGCCTCCAGAAGAAGATAGAGGAAGCTCAACAGAAAGAGGAGGCCCAGCTGCAGAAGTGCCTTGGGCAGGTGGAGCACAGAGTTCACCAGAAGGCTTATCACATGGCTGAGTATGAGCAAGAGGTGAGTGCTGCTCTGCATCTTCCACAGTTATGTGCACCTGTCGTGGACTCTCTTACAGTCAGCTGAGCCGTCCTAGCCTCAGTGGCCTCCAGTTTGCTTTGGATGGCTCAGCTGGGGTTAGCACTTCTGGTTCCATTTTTATGCATTAGTTCCCTTGAAACCAGGTACTCCTCCAATCTGATGCCCCTGTATGCATGTGGAGAGGGTGTGTTGGGGTATGGCTGTGTGCTGACCGTGGTGTCATGGCTGTGTGATGTCCATGTTTTGTGTGTGTGGGGGGAGATTGGGGAAATGTGTGTAAGACCTTCAGGTGCAGCAGGCCCTGAGTGCTGGTCCACCTCAGTTCTGCATGCCACATGCCTGCCGTCTCCCCTGCAGCTCAGCAGTCTCCTGCGAGAGAAGCGCCAGGAAGTGGAAGGAGAGCATGAGAGGAGGTTGGACAAGATGAAGGAGGAGCACCAGCAAGTGATGGCTAAGGCCAGAGAGCAGTATGAAGCTGAGGTAGCTCGGCCACATCCCCTGTGCGCATGCACACACGTGCACACACACACACACATGCGCGCACACATGCACACACATACGCACACGCACACACGCACATGCACGCACACCCCGGGGTCCTTCCCACCTGACTGTGGGGCAGAGGAAGGGGATAAACTGTGGTCAGGGATTGTGGGAGGTTTTCCTTCCTAGTACCCTGCCACGATGATGTTTTTTGCCTTTTTTATTAAAGCATGAAAAAGACCTCCACCTAATGAGGGGCAATTCCTTTTTTATCAGGCAGGCTGCACTTTCTTCTGATGGTAAAAGGACCCCCCATACATTGAGCTTGTACTGTGTGCCGAGAACTGTTCTGAGCTCTTTATCTATTTTAACTCATTTAGTCCTCACACCAGCCTTAGGAAAGATCTAGTGTCATTATCTCCATTTTAAAGATGAGGACACTGAGACTTGGAGAGTTTAAGTAGCTTGCCAAGATCACACTCAGCTAATAAGTGGAAGGGCTAAGATTCAAGCCCAGGGTGTCCGACTCCAAAGCCTTCAGTTTCCTCACTGCAACACCACGTCACCAGGGTTCCTCAACATCTCAGGACACCAAGAAATAGACTGGCAAGAACCAAGTAATACTGATATTCTCCCCATTTTAAGTCTTTGAGCTTAAGGTAGGAAAGTTTAGCGATTTGAGTGTACCCAAGCTGGCCTGGCTTGCTCACATTGAGGGTGAACATTGAGCGGGTAGAGGGTGGCTGACTATGGCCCACAGCTGGGCCCCTGCAGGGTGTTAAGACTACTGCTCCAGTAACTGGAACCAGTATCCCAGACTCTTTCTAGGATCTTTTCCAGGGCAGAAATAGCAGTCCCATGACGAAATTTGCTGCATCCCTTCCCCCAACCAATTATGACC